GCAATGCTAGAAGTAGTCGGCAATCAGAGTTACAACCATAAAAGCAGTTGTAGGACACAAACATTTAATAACATGTGACTTTATCAGGTCTTCATTTTTCTTTGCCCGCCAGCTGTGAGAAAAATGAAGGTCTGCATGGGCACAGGTTATATAAATCCTGGTATGAACAGCAGTATCAAATAGACACAAACTTGAATTATTATGTTAATACATACAAATCTACATTGAACTGAACAATTAACAATGTACTACAATGTAAAATATACATAAATTCCACTTACTTTAGAGCCCTAGTGGCCGTAGTGGGCATCTCACATTCTCACAGTATAAATATACTTCAATTCTTGTGCTCACTGCTCAGTTGAAAGATCAAATTCATTCCAAACCTCGGTAATTAATTCGACTGTAACTTAATTGCTCTCCATCATATTCGAGGGATATTTCTTCGCATTATTTGTTGAATTTTGTTCATTTGCATATAGTGTTTGCATATCCTTGCCGCCATGACTTGAATCGAATGCCTCGTTACGTCACAGTAGATTTTGATTTTGAAATTTGCATCAGTGAACTGATGCGAGCGCCCGCAATCTGCATGCGATGCATCGCTCAGCGGACTAATCTACCGTGACGTAGGGCTCTAAAACAATAGATTTGATGATGTCACAGTAGATTTTACGCGGAAAAGGACTCGGGACCGATGCATTCACTGATGCAAAATGGCTGAAAATCGATGCAAACAAAATCTACCGTGACGTAGGTGATGCATCAGCTTTCTACTGTGACGTCAAAGGATGTTAATGCGGTAAAAAAAATATTTTGTCGCGAAATTATTCACGCTTAAGTGTCGCAAAATAAAAAGTAAATAACAGAAAATACTTTTGCGATCGCACGTCGCATATTGGACTTATTTTGACAATTTCGACTGTTATTGAGACAATTTAAATTGGATTTCATCCTAAATAGTGTATTCCCGACATGGACAGTCACATGGAGTCAAGTTTAAGCAAATAGTTGCGGTTTGATAGCTGGAGAGATTCAAAGATATTCTATTACTGAGTGCTTGACTAAGTATTGACGACATATTATTTCAAGCAACATGATTTCTCAATTTTGACCGATGCATTCGCATCGTTGGCATCGGTCTGGATCCGCCCCTGCTTTAATACATCCAAAAAACGTGAGAAACTGTCACTTCTGCTTGAATGAGACGCCATGTTTAACGAAATTTATCAGGTGTTTTGCGGGTTAATTTATATTTATGGAATATTAATTAGCATGTATATTTGTCAATTGGCATGTATTTTTGCGAATATTGATTAGCAGGCATATAATTTGGCGAACTGATAAGAACTGTTTAATTTTTAGTGTACTTCGAATGAATTTTTAGATTTCAGGATGTGTTTTTGGAATTTTGAGTGCTTTTATTTTAACTTAGCATGCATTTTTATGCTGTTTACAGAAGAGCATGGATATTTGTGCACATAGCAGTTTTGTCCGCTTCGGCGCCCCATACTAGTACACGACTACGAGATTCGTTTAATATTTGAATGCGTCATATACTTACGCCATCATGTAACTACTACTGACCCTTATAAATATCGAATCGGTGTGCAAATTGACAACGGGATTATTTTTAAAGTCTCGTATAAAACAAGCACTACTATATAGAGGTGAGCCGATGTCTAAAAAAAGCTGATTACCGATACCGATTGTTAACAGCCGATATTTACCCTCCATCGGCCGATTAATCGGCAAAACCGATGGTCATCTTAATTTTTTTTACTAACGTATCCTCTCGTCAAAAGACTCAAAACATGCAGAAACAGGAAGCGACATTTTTAACACTGATTCTGAAATCCACAGCGTGCTACTGACTGGTCAACGGAAGTTACGGAACACGATAATTTAATTAATAAATCTTGCAGAAATGCCAGAAAAGTGAGAAAACAACGATGAAAAAACGCGGGAAATCGGTAAACATAGTGTTTCCACTTTCGTTTCCATAATTGTTTCCACACCAAATATTTGAATTTCATTTTTTTATTACACCGCTGACCATACAAATGGTGGAAGACAATCGGCCGATGGCCAATGACAATCGGCCATCAAAACAAGCCGATTAATCGGTTTTGCCGATGATCGGCTCACCTCTACTACTATATACGATATTATGGCGTGCATGAGCACGTAATAGCGTAAGAAGATTGCGAGCATGCATGACTGGTTATGAAATCTAAAGTTATCTATTATCGGGAACTGGAAAGGTGACTGATTCTGGTGTCAAGTTCCAAAATGGACCCAGATCAACAATTAAGTCAGTCTTCTTTGCTATACAATAAGTATAGATACATTGAATAGACTTTTATCATCTCTTTTGGTAGAATACTGCATGTCACATACCAAAATAACTGAAACCATATTATTCGACCAGCTAAGAAGTAGACATAATGGTACTTAAATAGTTCGGAAAAGCTTACCAAAGCAGCTAAGGTGTTCGCTGTTATAAGCATGTAAAATACGTCATTCCAACTCTGTGCAAAAAAAAATTAAAAATGTAGAAGTCCAAAACACGCTGACTGTGCGTCCCTAAGCAAATATATATTTCTGTCACATTTGAGAGGGCGTGTATTAGAGAGGGGTTTAATAGAGGAGCCTTGATAATATAGTTGAATACAATAAGACGACATTGCAAGATAACTAACAGTTCAAATCATTACATATAGCCTAGTCCTCGGCCTTTTCGCTTCCGCCTTACTATTTTAGGGTGCTACTTTGACAAAGTTTGCAGGTTGACTGGCATTAATTTCGGAATCTCAGAAAACGGGCAGCACGCAAATTCATGACAGCTGTAACTCGCCAGTGATATGAAAACCTATAGGCTAACCATTACACATGCATTTTTATGTTGTGAAGTAGAAGGATGGAACTCAAAACAGACGGGGAATGTGGCTCAATAAACGAATCGGAAGCTTTACCCAATAAGAAAACGGGATGAGTTTGAAAAAATTTGAAAACAAAACAAGTACATATGTAGTGTATATTGATTGCCACGGAAACGTTGAACGAAATACATACATTGCTCGAGAGAAAAGAGGTCAGGAGTGGCCCAAGTGCAGCACCTATAATAAACAAGACAATTGTAGACAACTGTAATTTTCGTAAACAACACAACAAAAAGCAATACAGAAAATACAATAAATTACAATATACAGTACAATACAATTTACAAGAATAGAATACATGTAGATCAATAAAATACAGCACATGCAAACAAAACAAATCTTACCTAAAGACCCAGTACCATCAATAATAGCAGTAACAGCCATGGCTTTAGTATCACCACGAAGAGCCTTTTGAGTTCCCTACAAGAAAAAAATATAGCAGTGTAACATTACATTCACCATCTACAGTACAGTACCTGGGAGGTTGTTCAAAGCTGGATTAGTGGTAATCCTTTCCAATAGCTGAATAACCGTGTAACAAAGCTGTTATAATGTTTTAATCTGTTATAATAATCCTTGAAAGCATCGGTAGGCTATAAATTCAGCTATATACATTCATTGCATGAAAATATAAAATCCCAGAAGTGGGCAACCTACGTTGCCCCCCCCCCCCCAGTAGCGTCCCCCCCCCAAAAAAAAAAAGAAAAAAAGACGATTCTTTTCAGTGTCCGCCACTGTGTGTAACAATATACAAATAATGAATGTTTATGATTATTTTCATGAGGTGAATGGAAAATTCCATCTTTAAGCGAATGAAAATATTTTTGCTATTACACGAATAAAAACATTCAGTATTTGTTTTATATGACACCAAAATACTGAAAATAGATAAATTTTATCCAACTTTTAAGTGAATTAAATACAAAACAGTTTCATGTGTCACAGTTTCATACACACACACATGAACTTGTGGTTAGAGCTGGACAACTGGCCTCTATAGCTCAGTTGGTGAGAGCGCTGCACCGGAATCGCAGGGCCACAGGTTTGATTCCTGCCAGTTTTTATACAGGTAGTCAATTTATGCCAAATAAAATACCCCATAGTTTCTGCGATGAACATTTGAAATGGGCAAAGTTAGGATCCGAGGAACATAGGATACTTTTTCCTAGTCTGACCAAGGAGTGCATGTGTGTGACTTAAATGTTGGCTCAAAGACTACTTTCGCACAAAAATATACCGCACAGTCATGCTTGGGCCGGTTGTATCTGTGGCACGGATTACTAGGAATATCAGAAACGAAATGTTTGAAAGGGACCGTTTGAAAAGAAAAGCAATTTCGTCGGATTTAAGTGAAGACTGGAGCCAGTATAAACATTATAGGAATCCGAATAGTGTCAACCTTGCAATGCGTGAAGCTAAGAAAGTTTACTACAAAAGCAAATTTAACAAACATCAAAATAATCCTAAACAGGCTTGGAGAATTAATGATATCCTTGGGAGAAAAAAGGACACAACGAGTAACGAACTAAAGCTAGGAAATGATACAATTACTTCTCCTATGAGAATGGCTAATTGTCTTAATGACTATTTTACAAGTATTGGTGGTAAAATTGGAGACGCCTGCTCTGAACACACTCAGAATTTAAATTTTGGCAAACATATGAGTGATTTTTAGGCTACTTAACAATTTGTCTATTTCTAAATCTACTGGATGTGATAAAATACCAGCTAAAATTCTAAAATATTCTGCTTCTGTAATTTCACTATCTTTGACCAATCTGTTCAACTCTTCTATTGGGATGGGAATTTTTCCGTCTGAATGGAAAATTGCTAGAGTTGTACCGCTTCATAAGAAGGGTTCACGCTCCGTTTTAGACAATTATAGGCCAATATCAATTTTGCCGGTTATTAGCAAAATATTTGAAAAGATCTTGTATGAGCAGTTATACGAATATTTTACCACCAATAATTTATTGCCTGAACAGCAGTTATACGGTATTAAGAATACGCCTCTTATATGCTTTTCAAATCTTATCAGATCGATCTCAGCAATGTCAAGTAAATGGGGAACTTTCCACATTAAAATATCTAAAATATGGAGTTCCTCAGGGTTGAATTTTGGGTCCACGTCTGTTTTTAATTTATATCAATGATTTACCGAACTGTTTACAACACTCTACAGCACGTATGTTCGCCGACGATACTAACATTACAGTGTCCGGTAAATCAATTAAGGAAGCTGAGGTGGCCGTTAATGCTGATCAGGGGCGGATCTAGGGGTAGTCAGATTAGTCACGCGACTAACGTAAAAAAAGGCATATAAAAAAATTTGGACTAAGGTTTTTGAATTTTTTTCCCAGCGCAAACACTTCTGTTCATTTCTGATCATGCAATCAAAACTACATCACACTCCAGCATATAAACTTCGATCAGTTTTTGCACATTGAGCCAGCGATTGATTAGTCA